TCCTTTGGCTGTACCAGCTGTGAAGTTTGATTTCAAATCTGACATGGACTGCAGTCATACAAAGGAACAGGACAAAGCTTTCAACTCTTATGGTCAGTGGGAGGGAATCTAATACCCTGGTCCTACAGCAAAAAAAAGAGCTGCAAGGCTGCAGGTTTAAAGCTGTAGGTTGAAGGTTTTAAACTCTTACTCTGACATATGCTCCCATCTTTGCAGAAAATATGAAATAGATTTCAAAAGACTAGGTATACGAAATGCTCTTCCTCTAACAACCATCCTCAGAACACTAAAAACCTCTATATATTGCTTCAACAAAAATAAAAGGCATTAAAAGATAAAGTTATTACTCTGAACTTTAACAAAATTTGTAAGTATATGACCAGACTTTTAAGATACTTACCCATTTTATGTAAGTACCCGATTTTCAAAAATTGTGCAGAAATTCCGGGTAATAGTAACTTCCTCAATGGGTGAAATAGTTTCCTGATTCAAATAATATATGCGTGGGTTTTTTTTAGTTTAGATACAGCTTTATCAGTCATACCACCATTAAAGGTCTACTGAAGTGTAGTCCCAGATGACTTCTTATTAGACCTTAAAATGTCTGGACCACATTCACTAATCTTCCTTTAAACAGAGACCCATGACTTCCCCCCCCACAATCTTCCCCTCCCCCCCCCCCCCCTTTTTTTTTTCTTTTTGTATATCTTCGAGAAACAATGTAGAAAAATAAGCACACGTGCATATTCAGGCAAGAATAAGTTAAGGTAAGTTAAAGCTGAAGGACAGTGAGACTTGAAGAAATCGTGCCTTCTATCTTGGAATTTCATACGTGTGCCAGGAAGAGTAAGCAGGAAAGTCACACTGCGCTAAAGACAGAACAGCTGTGCTACAGAAGGAGCTACTCGTCTTTCAAGAAACTTCAGGGAGAGACCTAAAATTAGCTCCTTTTCTGTAACTCATGATTTCTAAAAAGCTCTCAGGAAGAATCAAAGATCTCAGCAGCCCACTGGCTTAGTAGCGTTACTGTCTTTCCTATTGCAACGTTTTCCCTTTTCACAAACACAGCTCTTGCTTTGTGCTCGGCAGGGATCAGACACTCCAGGCCAACTGACTTACATATTTAGAAAATTGTTGTAAGATATTATTTACAGAGCACAAGGACTGTTTCCTTGAAGGAAGGTGTTGAGGTACCAAAGTCTATCACCAGGTGTTCAGCCTCTGACTCCCAAAGATATTTAAATTCTCATTTACAAATTGCCTCCACCTCATTTACAAATCCAAGTATCACTTCATTTACACCTTGATGATCTTCTCAGTGCAAGTGTTTTAGCAACTCTGAAATTATAGCCCGGCCTTCTATTGGTAAACCGGTTTTGAGATGTCTGTGTCATTCCTGCCTGGAATTGCTCCGGACAGCTTCTGTCCGCACAACACAGAAATGCCTATAAAAGACAAATGTTTGGGTCTGTGAAACATTCACAGAAGGAAGAATGTGATTTTACCTGCCATTGCCACCTATCAGAAGCAGCTGGGCACCGGAGAGCAGTATGCTGGCTCATTCAGAGACTGCAATACAAATGCTCACACCACAATCCAAAGACCACTGAATGGGATATAAATTTGCCAGCTTTCAGCTTGAGCAGGGACAGAGAACAACATATCTTGTTCTATCTCTACTATCAATAGCAGCACAAAAGAAATATGCAGCTTTCTGTGATCATCGTGGTATAATGTCAGAAAAACAAAATAGAAAAAAGAAACTCAAAACACAGGTATAGGTGAAACCAAATGTCAAAGCCTAATACACGATAACAGGGAAATAGCATAACAGAGAAATAGCACTTCTGATAAATACATATCTTAGTTTTATGGAGAAATGAGAAGCGAGTTCTTGAGCAGGGACGTTGAACAGAAGAACAGATGGGGTAGTGAGCTGTTTGGACACCCACCCATATCCTTCACACATCAGGTGTCTGAAGCTGAGCATGATAATGAAAGCATCCTGCATCCACTAACAGAGCAAGATTATTAAGGTCATGCACCCTGAAAGCACTCTCTGATTGAGAAATCACTGGAAATCTCAGACCACGTACACATCTTGTGAGTCAGGTAGCATATATTCTGTTTATTGCTCCTAGCAAAATAATCTTATTCACCTGTGAATGAGATATGACATGCCACTTAAGACATTGGTCTTCTTCCATTTGGAAAAGAAATATATCACATTACAAATTACTTTCTCTGCTAAATATTTTTTTTCTTGACATCTTTCTCTACAGATTCAGAGTCCATCTGCAATAATTATTAATTACTTCCACTTTGTCTTCCTCTTCATCACACTAAGACATGTCATCTCACCTCCAGAAAGCATGAATGTAAATACATCTAAAGGAACCATTAGAATCATAGTTTTAAAATTTATTCAACTGAAGAGAGCTTCCAGCATACTGAAGAGCTATTTGTAGACTTTTACCACTATAAATCATAATAGAGAAAGAAAGTAATATTAACTATTTTTTTAAATATAAAACTAAGCATTACCAGAATTGGGAAAATTTCTCCAGTAAAGCTTTGTTACCTGTTTGAATGAAAGTCAGAAGAAATGCAGATTTGGAAAATTATGGTTCTTGACATAAAAAGCATAAAGGTAGGATCAAGCGATCTGTTACATGCAGCTGTATCTCAAAATGTGACATTATGCACATTATGAATATTTTTAAAAGTAATATTTTGGAAGGCTACATATCATATAGCTGAAGCAACTACAGCTTCCTTGAATTACATATATAATTTTACACTTTCTATCTTGTCAAAGGAAACTGAAAGAAACTAAACAGAAAATGACCAAATGTGAAGTCTTTATTTACAGCTCATGATGAAGTGAGAAAGAGCAACAAAATTTAGATTAAGGAAAGTGAAACTTTTACCAGGGGGAAAAAATAGTGTGAAACAGGAAAGGACCAGCCTGTCAGCACAGAGTTACAGAGTTACCTCAACAATTTTGAAAATTAGAAGAGTGAGGAAAAAAAAAAAAAAAGGGTCAGAGTCTTTATCTTTTAACTCTGAGAACTGTGAAAAGCCCCAAGCTGATCAGAGACAGAGTTCTAAATTAGTGTCTCACATCTAAAATAAGGACTGTAACTCCAGGTTGCCTATGAGGTGTCAAGATTAATTTGTGAGTGCTGGCACTGTGCTTTAAAGATGTAAGATGATGTATAAGAACTAAGTATTATCATTCCAAAGAGAAATTTCAAGGAATTTTCAAACCTTGAAGGAGCCATGTTTAATTCACACAACTGAAATTACTTATTTCTGCAAACACCGCCCAGCTGCAAGAAATGGAACCTCAAATGTCTTAAAGACAAGAAAATGATGCTATTTGGCCAACTATTCACAATCATACAATGACTTGGGTTGGAAGGAACCTTTAAGATCATCTAGTTTCAATCCCCTTTCTATATGTGGGACACCTCTCTCTCTACCAGGTTGATGAAAGCCAGCCAGCCTGGCTTTGAATGCTTCCAGGGAGGGGGCATTCACAACCTCACTTGAGCAACCTATTCCAGAGTCTCATGAACCTCCTAGTAAATAATTTCTTCCTAATTGCTTGTCAAAGTCTACCAGGATGGAAGAGGGTACCATCCCACTTTGAGGCTGATGATGGCAATGAGGACAAGAGTTGGATCACAGACCAGTAAGATAGCACCTCAGGCTCAGAATAAGGGAACTCCAATTGGTAAATCAGCCTCAATGGGAGCCCAACTTAAGCATGCATTTTGGTAAATGTAATTGATACTTGTTTAAGACTCCAGCCATGAGAAGGACAAAAAAAAAAAAAAAAGAAAAAAAAAGAAAAAAGAGGAAACAGAATTGAAGTTTGTATTCATTTCTGCCTCTTAAAAAATAAAGGAAGCATTGGAAAAAACTAAGCTTGATGTGTTCAACCCTCAATCCCATTTAAGTTAACAGAACTCTACTGACAGTAGAGCAGAAGTGGTTTCACCCAGTGCATTCAATTCTTTTTTAGCATAACTCCACTGAAGAAAAGTGAGTTATACTGGATTGCTCATAAGCCATTTGGAAAACAGCACAAACACTGAAGTGATAAAGCCAGCTGATGATACTCATTTGCCCAAGGTAGGAAAAATGAAAACAGCTGTGTAAAGTTGTAGAAAGACCTCTGGCACTGACTAGCAGATGAAAGGACTGGCAAAATTGAATGTAGATAAAGGTATAGTAGCATACAAGAGAGAAAAAAAAACCAACAATTTTAACTCCATATACACAAAAATAGACTCAGACCTGACAGCTGCTTAGGAAAGAGATCTTGTCATTAGATAGTTCTAGAAAAGGACAGATGGGAAGGAGGTTGTGAACCCTTACAGCAGAAAGCAGAACAAAACAGAGAATATCGTATGCTCCTATACAAGCTCAAATCTTGATTGCTTTGCTACCTTTGCAGACTTTTCTCTGAAATATACAGTGGACATAAACCAATGCAGAAGAACAATAAGGATGGTCAGATATACAAAGCCATATCAGAAATTAATACAGCCCCTCTTCCTAGAAAAAAATCAACTGTGAAGCTCATGATGAAGCTGTAAAAATTCTGAGAATCATGAGGTATGTACACATGGATCACAGATTCATGAGTGAATTTAATATAACAACTGGTGGCACCAGAATGAAGTTAGCAGGTAAGCAGAAAACAGCAGAAGCTGCTTTCCACCTACATAACTGGTCAGCGGCATGCATTTCCACAGAGTGTTGTAAGAGCTAAAAATGTAAAATGCACATCACTGTAAAGACTAATAACCAAAAATGAAAGTCCACTGGGGGATATAACAAAAATATAAAAGCTTCTTGCTCAAAGAATCCATCAATATTTGTACATTTTGCCATCCTACATGCTTACCCTCTTTTATGTTCTTCCCTCTCCTGCTGCTACCAAGCACTGCCAATACCACTGCATGATGGCATTTCTGAAAGGCTCTTACCTGCATTTCCTCATGGTGAGAACAGCTGCAGATCAGCTTCTCCTCTCCAACACTAGTGTGCTTGGCACTAAGCCCATGTTGGGATATTCCAGAGAAATAATAGCTGGAAAAAAGCCAAATAAAAGCAACTTCAGTGAGGGAAACTACTGGCATGTTCTCAGGCTGCCATCAGCAGGGTTGACAGGAATGAGGTGCTGGAAAAGAAGAACTGGGGAGACTCCTGGGTTCTGACCTGCCTTAGTTTGTCCTGACCTAAATTGCTGGTGTTGGCTGCTCATCACCCCTGCAAATCCCAAGGCAACTCGCAGCATGATTCCTGTTCAGCCCAGTGCTAAATAAGATATAGCAGATGCTGTTTTGATTTTTAATGCTGTCCCCAATACAACGAGTGCAAACATCATGTTTACAGAAGGAGCACAGACACGAACAGACAGGCAGAGTCAGGCTACAGGTCTATAAGAAGAGGATCATTAACCACGGCATCTCAAAGCCCTTCAGATGCTAATACGCACCAAAAACTAGGGCCACCTATGTTTGAAATGATAGCAAGCACATTTTGTCCCAAAAGCCTTAGTTTTGTTCCCTTCACTCAGCACCTAAGAAATTTCAGTGGGAAGATGAATAAATACGTGCCTAAATGGGCCAGATTGTGGGGCCATCCATTAGTTGTTGCAAGGAAAGAGAAAGGGAGGACATGACAGCCTTGTTTTTGGAAATTAACAGAAATTCACGAATGTCTACCTACATCCTGCTAGTTCACTTATCACTTGCTTTTTATTTGGACTAGTTATATGACAGACAAAAAAGTTGTTCTGAATTGATGTGCTGGATTATAATTGCGCCACTTTCCTAGCCTTTTGTTCAGCATGTTTTTCCCATTTTAGGATAGCAATCTGCATTTTGCCAGCTGCTTGCCTTGGTGAAGGAGCTGTGGGAAAGGCTCATCCTCACACATGCGGCTGCCTGCAGGAAGCACCAGCGGGTGGGGAAGCACAGAGTAGAGATGGAGAATTTCTGGCTTCCTTCTGCCTAATTGTCTTTTGATGACTGGACTACTAGTCAGCTTGCCCATCAGCTGCTCTCAATGGCAAAATAGGCCCCATGAATCACGCACATCAGCTCAGCAGGACATGTTTGTTTAGAAAACTGAAATACAAAATTTAATAATCCTTCAGGCCAGATCCTCAGCTAATGTAGAAAAGCGCAGTTGCACTGAAGTGCATCTACATCAACTGGCTTTAGGTGAGGATCTGGCTTTACAAGCTTGGTAGAAAGGAGCCTTTATCTATGCAATATTAAAGGAGCATGAAAATCTGACACTCCCACTGGGCTGCCTCACTGCATGCCACAGTTTCTCAGAGCTTTGAGCTAATTTGAAGAAACTCAATTAGAGAAAGTGTCATAGATGCAAAAGGATCAGTAATTCATCACATGCTGAACAAGGGTAGTCAACACTGAAAAATGCATGAGCTTTTCTGAGTTGTTGGAGGCATTAGAGTAGTGGATTGCAGCAGCTCATATCCCAGACCTCCTCCCTGTTTCTGTCCTCAGATTCTTGGTGGTGAATTGTGAGCTGAGCATTTGCACTGCAGGAATCCTGCACAGAATCCCTGCACTCAGGTCCTATTGGAGGGTGAGAGTTGTTTTCCTGACAGAGCCACCCATTTAACGTCAAGATCAGTCTCCTTGGAGGTGACACATATAGGACTAAAACCTTTTGCTTGGGAACAGGTTGGACAAGCTCTCCACCTTGAATTTGCAGTCCCTAGCTCCAATCTCTTTTGTAAAACTTCTGAGGGCTACAAACACACCTATGCCAACCCATAAAGCACATGTGGACCTTACTTGCTGGGATGAAGTCTGCCAGGATGCAGATAAAGCCTGGGGTCTGGAAACCAAGTTTGGTGCTGGAAGTCCGAGACTGGTTGGAACTGCGCTGAGACGTAAATTCAGGCACCTGAGAAAATGCGGAATTAAATAGAAGGCATTACTTTTAGAGCAAACTAAGTACTTCATGGTAGGAGAGTACTACATCAGCTGTAATTGCTACAAGAAAGAAACCTTTGAGAGATGCTGTTAAATGAAAAGTACACCTGTGACATCAATTTTTGTGCATGAATGTGTTGAATTTTTAAAAACAATATTGGTCCTTTATTCTTGAAAACAAAAGATCTTATGCTGGCATCATTGCAAATATTTATTCAAAGTAGAGTTTACACTTTGAAGCACAAAAATGAGTAGAAACCAAATAAGTGAGCTACAGCAAACATTACACTCTCTAACGCCATCTATTTGGACTTGCCACTGTACATAAGGCTGCACCGTGAACTCAGTCTGACCAATGTGATCATGCACTATGCAACCTGCCATGCCTGGCAGATACTCTAAGAACAAACTGATTCTACATCAGCACTGTGTATTACCCTATAGATCCGTTCATGCATGCTCAAGGCTGATTCCATTACATTATTAAATCCTAAATTATCTTACAAATGGCATGCTAGAATTAGCACTGTAAGAGAAAGCTAGGGAAGTAATCAAGGGGAAAAAGAAATCAAGGAAACAAGTTGAAAAGTACTCAGTGCAAAAAAGCTGCACAACCCAGCAATCTCCATCTCCTTCCATTCATGATTCTCCAAGCCTTGCCAATGCAGAGGTAAGAGCTTGAAGTAAAAATAAAAAAGGTGTGTGTTTCTTGGTATTTGTAGAAGTGATGACATCTTCAGGTTGGATCTACATGATCGATTATACAGCGGGAAGGAGTCATGTTGTTTATGAAAGGTGATGGGTATTTGGTATTGCTTGTGAACATAACATGTGGCAGTTGTAAGAACTGAGCTTGTTAGTGAGTAAGGGGGTCTGATCTTTTTGCTTGTGGGGTAAGGTTTTGAGACTGCTTCCAGAGAAAGATTTTGCTGACATATGAATGTGTTCATTGCTACAGTCAATTGACCTGACTGCTCTAGGAGCAGCTGTGTAAGTCAGAACAAGCCTCTCTTTAATCAATTTAGGAGGAAAGATGAACCTAATAATCAATGCAAGTAGTTAAATGAAACCACCTGTGCACACAGACTCAGAAATACTGCCTAGATGTCTGATAACACCTCTTTTGATCTACAGCTTTTTGTTGTCTGAAGTAAAGCTAATGACATTGTTCTGACATAAGGAAGTATCTGTGTCAATGGTGCTGCTGCTATTTTTGTCAAAATTAATACTCTTCATAGCTTAGAAAGATAATTTTACTTCAAAGTAGATTTTTCTCTTTAGTATCCAGATCTTAAAACAGACCTACTGTTTTAAAGTAGTTATTTGGGGTAAGCAGTCCCCTTTAAATGAAAGTCATAAATTGTGCATGTTCTCCTGCTATTAGCTTCTACTAAGTAGATTCTGAATTACTTTCCCAGAGTGAAATGCTCGTGTGTGTCACAGTTCATAATATTGCTTATTCAGCTACATGTCTGTAATTTGAACTAATTGAGTTAAGTAATAGTGTCACAGGACTTTGGTAAAGACAGTTTCTGCTCTGGCAGTAGCTCCTATGTCAATTATTAGCTTGTTGTCAATTATCAACTCACACTAATCACTATTGCTGTCAAAACAGACATCGGTGCATGGAAGTATTTATCTTCTTCCCAGTTCTCATTTCAAAAGATTCATTAAGATAAGGTATCTATTTTCTACATTCATGCCTTATTCCCATTATTCATACTGTTTTTGTTCCCCATTCCATACTTTTCTTTTTCTTGTATTAGTTATAGCTGTCTTCTATCATTATTTTTTAATTTATAGTGCCCATCCAATTATTTTCAGCAGTGAACCACAAGTGAAGTATCTGTCATTGCTGTAACAGCCTTCTCACCAGCTCTTTGGTTGCATTCTGTGTATGTGCTGAAGACACTCAGAAGGCTCTCAGTGGAGGAGCACTTAATTGCCATCATCCAAGCCACTGACGCCATTTAAAATGTGAGAAAACAATGCCTGACTGTGACTTTACCTAATGCTAATCTACCGAAGCTTTGGAATTTATCTGTAATTATGGTTGAAGATGTAGTATCAGAGAATATCTTCTAACTGTAGCATATTGATGCAATACATAACATAAAATACCATTCCTGTTAATGATGAGGCTTAATAAGGAGGAAGACGTAAAAATCCTACAGATCCCCATTGTATTTCTGCATTTCCTTCATTCTCATACTTCCTATAGCTCTCAGTATTTCATTTCTCTCATGATTCTTTGTTACCACTTTGATACACCTTGATATCTAGCTTTCTTCTATGTTTTAGTTCATGTTAGACTTTTTCACCTTTCCATGCCATGCAAACGTTAGTTTTCTTGTTCCTTATTTTTTACACCTCTGTTTTTCTGTTCCCACCTTGCTCAATGCTTCTCTACAGCTTTATGATGCTTTCCACTTTCTAGCACTTTCTTTATCTCTTTTGTTTTTCTTTATATCTTTTTTCAGTCTTTGTCCTCATTTTTCTCTTTGCCCCAATGGCCCTTTTTTTATTGATTTGTTCAACATCTGATCATTAAAGTTTGTTAACTCATTACATACGTACTCAGGACATTATATGATTTTATGATATTAAAAATCATTTATTATTATTACTGTTATTACCCACATGCAAGCATTTGGCATTGTAAGAACTGCTTCACAGACTAGCCAGCACAAGCTTGCAACTGTTGCAGAGAAGGAAGAGGTTTCACACTAAATCAATGCAAGTTTATTTGCAGAGCAGAAGTTCAATGTGAAAGTTTCAGAATTTTATCAGAGCTTAAACTTCCTGTCAAATGCCACCATAAATGTTATGTGGAAAGCTAGATTCATTGGGAAAATATGCCAGCACCTCAGAAAGTTCATAAAAGAAATATCTGTCGATGCTTAATTATTTTCATAATGCAAAAGAAAGGAAGCTTCCAGTTCCAAAGCTCTAGAGCTGAACCTCCCAGCTTTGTCAAACAGAAGAGAAGCACAAAAATGGATGGCATACTCACAAAAAATTTCCATAGCAGGAAAAGCAAACATAGTGTTTGTATAATCAATGGATATTAAGATGTTACAATTACAAAATAAACAAGAGAGGCAAAATAGATTATGATAACAAAAGGGAATAAATAGAAGGCTTACCCTTCGTTGGGCTCACCACAAAACCCCAGAAGGAGGGATCTCCAGACAAGATCCTTCCCCACTGGTAGCCAGCTCTTAAATAGGTCTAGAAGAGGTGGAGCCAGGCTCCATCCCTTCGGGCAGCACAGCTGAATTGCCTTCACCTGTACTCCTCTGGTTGACCCATGGCTCGCCTCAGGTGATCAATCAGAGGTTCAGGCCATGACTCAGTAATTCCCATACAAGTGTTACTCTAGAGTTGACTGCTTAGTCCGTGTTAGAGTCCTTCCTACACAAGTTTTTCATGTCTGATAACTTATTTCAGAATACAGACCCAAAAGACATGCATAACTATAACTTAAACTCCTTCTGGATCATGATTTAATACTGCTAAGAAGAAATTGTTCGGCTGAATTTAGAGAACACAGTTGGCCACATTACACAAAAATAAAATACAATCTGAGAAATACTTGAAGAAAATTAAGAATGTCACAAATAATGCAAAGTCAAGTATGTCACCCAACTTACACTTTCTTGCATCAGAGATGAACTACACTGTCTTACAACAGCCACTAAAGAGATGGGTTCTTCACATCCCTTTAACACCTGATTTTCATGAGGGCCATTACTGAAAACACTGCAGTATTTTTTTTTTTTTTTTATTTTCAGGTCTGACCCACACTCTACATTCTGGTATGCCTTTGTAAAAGACATCTGAAGCTCTCCCTCCAGCTGAGCCATTTGCAGTGCAGGAGAGGCTGATGAATACAGGATTTTACCAGCATTGGCACCTGGATGAACTCAGCCCTTTTCAAGACCCCCTGCCTTCAGAGCAGGACAGTGCTGCAGAGCATTTTCACCTCTGTGCAGCCGCTGGGAAGCAACAGAAGGTGCTACTGCAGTCACAGCATTGCAGTCTTTCTTTCTCTCCAGGTCTTTCAGCATCAATGATAGCAGAGGTGTACAAATACAAAGTATTTCACAGTGTGATGGGAAGCTGGAAAAATAAGCCTGTAATCAATCATGACTTTCTTGTATTGAATGTAGCTGCCCGAGGCTCTCACTGGCCTCCCAGCCCCATTCCTCATTTCCCTCTGTACCTCAATAACCCCAGCACCGTTCTATTCCTACAAAGAATTCACCTGACCCTATACAGCATCTACTGGGCAGCCAGACAGCCTAAGTCTGAACTCTTTTCTGCAAGAGAGAAAATGCTATCAATTCTAGCTGAAATATTCAAGCACTGAATCAAACATTTGGCTGCATGGATTCCTCCCTAAGGCTACTCCCTGTCCTCTCCCTGAGAATTGCTACTTTTCTATTTCTATTGTGCTGGTTTGGTAGCGGTCAGTTTGTAAGAAAACCAGCTGGCAGGAATTGCTTAGTTCTCCCTGAATGTCGTGAATTAGAAAGCCTAGGCCAAGCCAAAGGAGCCAGTGATAGAGTGCATAGTCCAGGAGACTGGATAAGCTCAGCTGTGGACCTCCTGGCTAATCAGTTGTGGAATAAGCAAATGGCTATATCACAATGGGAGAGTTCCATGCCCCTCTTCCCAAACAAAGCAGTTGTTATACATACTGATAATCTTTGTAGCCAAAGTGACCGTTAGAGCATAGCATAGGGAAAATGAGAGAAAATAGATTGGACAAAGGCTCTGGAGATTTAATCCAAAGCTTCCAGTGTAAAGTACCCTTTATCAGCAAAGGTGGCTTAAAATAGTCTTGATTTTATCACCTTTGCAATTTGTTCCTGCATCTATATCACATCTAGAGTGCATCCTCCTCTCTGGGCTAATGCAGATTTTTGAAATCATTGGAGTCATTTGAGTTACAAAAACCCTCGAGGGGGAAATACAAAAGTAACAAGAAAACAGGGGTGAAACTTTCTGATAGCTACCTTATTCATCTAGTACCCCCTCCTT